TTTATTAAAACAAACAAACAAAAAAGAATATTGTACTGTACCTCCTTATTGGTGGGGGTTTCTGCTGTACCACAGACATCTTGATGATGTTGTATACTTGATGATTCAGCACCTTGAGGTGAAGATGGATCAGGAGATGGAGACTACAGGATATACAATAAAATAAAATCCTGAGCAAGTAACATACAATATTTTACTATTTTGGTCTCAAGATTCAGAATTGGGTTGAGGGCTCCAGAAAAATATTAAACTCTAGAAACCATAACATGCATAAGTTCACCAATTTAATTGAATTTCACAAAACTATCTTCAGATTTCTATTTACTTGGAAAGAAATAAAACTGAGAATCACAAACTGGGATATTGGGCTTGAGCAGTACTTCAAATTTAAAGGAAAAGGGCACTTCAAAGCATGCAGGAGTGCTGATGCTTTGCTTCTGGCAAACTCTTAAAGAAATTGCATCTTCTTCTCCAGGAATGCATGATGGCCCTCCACAGCTATAGTGCAATCCCAATAAAAGCCATATTTGTTTTAAGCAGTTGCTGACAGGTAAGAAGCAAAAGTTCAGGAGTATGCCAAAGTACCCCCCAATCTATATGACTCCTACCTTGATGCTGTGGGAGACATTGAAAACCTGGGTATTTTCCCAGGACTTGGGGTAGGATAGTAGTGTGCCCCTGTAAGACTTGATTCTGTTTTGAATGGTTCTCTTATCCTGATGAACATCTCTTTGTTCTTTTATTTTATTGTTCTGGCTTTGTTATAACATAAAGTGTCCAGAGTTGTTGGGAATCAGGCATTCTTTAAATCTATGTAAGAAAGTAAATTTTTCTCTTCAACAACTGGATTCAGTCCTAGCTATGTTTACCCAAGATAGTTCTGGAAACCGCCAGGTTTTCAAAATACATAAAACACTGACATAAACAACCTACCCCATTATTCTTGTTTCATTCATCATACATAGCTCCAAATGGTGGCCAATCCATTTTCAGATACATTTGACAGTACAGTAAGGATGTAACTCCCATCTTCATTCTGCTTATCTTCCCTGTTCCATGATGATTGCTTTTCTTACATACTATACAGTTCATGTACCAGAAGACTAAATAATGGTCTCAATGCAATTCTGTTGCTGAAGCTCAGTTGCCAAGTTCAGATCCATATAGGAAATACAGACAGTTTGCTCTGAACCATTAGCACTGTTACATCAGACCAATAAGCAATTGCCTTTGTTGGAAACTGTGTCCTTCTTGCAAGACTTTACGTTATGATTGACGTATTTTCATCCAACAAAAAATGCCAGCACAAATATTAACGCTGCTTACAATATGCAATTCTTTTTTCAGAACTTAAATTTAAATTATCATGTCATATATTAGGCAGAGCAAAGTCTCAGGATAAAATATCCAGTAAAATTAGATGTTTCTACTTTATCTATACATGTCAAATTCACTTTTATTATAATGCAATCTTAGTAACAATTTGGGATTGTGTTGATGAAATCCCTTCAATAGGTATTACCTGTACCCACTAATGTGGGGCTGAGCCTTAATTAAATCAACAGGATTTAGTCCTGAGTAAGCATGCATAGGGCAGCAACATTTATCATTATTTGTTCTATTTCTATAATTTACCTACCATGTTCCTAAGATACTCAGTGCGGTACATCCAGAAATTCTCCATTTTGATGTTGCTGTTATGTTTCTTCAGCAAGAAAATAATCTGCTAGCAGATGGCAGAAAATGACTTTTTCCAGTGGTGTTATATACTCATACTTGAAAATGAAGCCAGTAATAGGAGATGTTGCTGTACTACCTATGTAGATTAACCTTCTCTGTTATTTAATAGCTGTAAGGAGGTCATTCTACTATAGCAGATAGCTCCTGCTCCATAAAAGGCTGTCAGTTGTCTATTCTTTTTATTTATTGCTTTTATTTATTGCCTATATGTATTAGCATTTAATCCTACTAGTAGCTTCCAAATAATAGCAAAACAGTAGCAAATACTATTATCAAAATGTGAAATAGAAAAAGCATTTAGGTTATTTAGTTTATTTTAAATTGATTGATTATATGCCATCAGGTCATTGTCAACTCTTAGCAACCATATAGATAGATTTTCTCCATAATTCTTTTAAAAACCAGTGATGAATTTGGAAATCATTCTACCAGATATCTTTTAAAACATTGTGAACAATGTAGAATTAAATAGATACCAGCATGAATGACATTTTTGCTTTAATCAATAAAATGAAATTGTACTATATAAAATGTAAAGTAAACCTAATGTTGTCTTTAGGTATTTATATAACATAGCACATACATTTTTGTAAAGACCTTAGGAATGGATAAAAAAGGATTTACCACATTCAGCAAATGCACTCTTCCTGGACTTCAGAGTGCTCAAAAGCAAGATTTCACTGTGGGAGACAGAGCTCCATTTTTGTATCTCAAAACCAGCAAAAATCCAGCAGCCCAAAGGAATTTGGGAAATACTCAATGACCAGGCACAGAGGGCAATGGGTTATTTCAAATGCAGTGGCTTCTTCATTGTGACTTAAGAATTAGGCCATACTATATAGCTGCAGTAGTAAAAAAGTAATGGTGGTGAACTGGGCCTTTCGGAAACCCAAGATGAACGAGAATGGTAACTGTTTTGCAAAAATTGCTTTTAAAAATGTTTCATTTCAAATACATGATTTAAACATTAGTCTGTATGTATACATGGAAAAGGAACAAATCAAAAAGTATGATTGATCTAATTGTTTATGATAAAAGATTGAGTGAATGAGAGGTTCTGAATGTGAGACATACCATTTTTAGTGGTATTGTATCAAGATAATTTCCAATCTTGGAAAAAACAGACCAGGAACAAGAAGTAAAAAAAATGATATGAAAGTAGAATGAATGCAGGAAGAGAAAGTATGATTCCTATACAGGTAGTCCTTGCTTAATGACGGTAATTGGGACCAGAATTTCCATTGCTAAACAATACAGTGATAAAGCGCGACGTCATGTAACCACACTGCTTATTGACGGCAGTTCCGGCAGATCCTGGTTATTGTTGTTAAGTGAATCACCGGGAGTCAGTAAGCAAGGACCTCAAGTGACCATGACTTTCAACTTCCTGCTGGCTTCCCCACTGACTTTGTGGGAAGCTGGCAAGGAAGGTCATAAATTGTGACCATGTGACGACTGGGCACTGCAATGGTTGGAAATCCGGACCAGTTGCCAAGTGCCCAGATCACAATCACATGACCATGGGGGTGCTGTGATGGCCAGAACTTTGAGGACCAGTTGTAAGTACCACTTGTTCAGCACTGTCACAAGTTCAAATGGTCGCTGAACGAGTGGTCATTAAACTACCTGTATGAAAAAGTATAAAATAAAGTAATATCACAACAAAATTAATGAAAAGAAGATGTAAAGAAGGAAGATGTGGGAGCTGCTTAGAACAGAGGAAAAATAATTTTATTACAGAGTATCACAGAAACACCAATGGGGAGGGGAACAAGAGACAAGACATTGTTATGTCACAATGCAAATTCTACTCTTTACATACTTGGATGCAATACTGCAATCCAAGTACAAAAGTGTGTGAAGTTACACTGATGGAAAGTATGAAAAAGGATGCTTGGTGGAATTATAAAATGACAAATACCATTGATGAGAACAAAACTTATTCCTGAAAAAAAAATAGGATAAGAGAAAACAACTGTGTAACATGTACAGGTAGTCCTTGCTTAACAACCACAATAGGGACTGGAAAACTGGTTGTTAAGTGGTGTGGTTAAGCGAGTCACCACATGACCAGACCCAATTTTATGACCATTTTTATGATGGCTGTAAAGTGAATCACTGTGTTCATCAAGCAAATCACATGGTCATTAAGCGAATCCAGCTTCCCCAATGGATGTTTTTTGCCAGAAACCAGCAAAAAGGGTTGCAAATCATAATCACGTGACCACAGGATGCTGCAACTGGTCGTAAATGCGAGCCAGTTGCCAAGCCCCCAAATTGCGATCACATGACTGTGGGAGATGGTGTGGTTTGTGACAGTCATAAGTCTGAGTAGAGGTTGTAAAGCACTTTTTCCGAGGCCACTGTAACTTTCAACTGTCATTAAACAAACGGTTGTTAAGCGAGGACTACCTGTATATAGAAAAATAGATAGCTGAAAAGCATGTAGTCAAAGAAAACATGGAATGGTTAGAAGAACCAGAAAAACTGGAGAGTAATTTTGATAGAACTTAAAAATTGGATTGGAATTTGGTATAGAGGGATAGACGCAGAAGAGTCAATGCAATTAAAAATGAAAATGATGAAATTATTTAGATGAAATTCAAGTGAATGATGTTGAAAGGAAAAATGGGAATTACAGTGGTATGTCAACGAATGGAAATGAAATTAATACTATAAATGTTGAAGTCCAAGAAAAAAACTGATGATGGTTCGCAAGAATATAAAGATATGAAGACATACAGTACTGAATAATATTATGTAAACTAGATTTAACTCTATTTTCTTATCTCATGCCTTTTATTTCTTTGGCTTAGTGTTTCTTACTCCCTTTCTGCACTCAGTGTAATGTTACTGACCCAAAATTGAAGTGTGTGATGGTAATATATGTATGAATGCAATGTATGACTTGAAATTGCTATTGAAATTCTGAAATATTTGCAAATCCAGTTTGAACATAGGATAACATACATGCTCTGCAAAGAATTCACCCCAACTCTATAGAAAAAGTATAAACTATGTAATAGAGATTGTAACTGTGATTCTCAATACCCTCTACAATAGCCCTCCCAAAAAAGAGCAGTGGACACATTCTAACATATAAAGATTGAAGAGTGCTATTTATTTAAAAAGATATATGCCTGCTTTGCTACCAAGGCTCATGACATGTAACAAAAGTAAATTCTCTTGAAAAACTGAATTTTGTCATATCTATATAAAAACCTGAATTAAAAAAGCCAAAAGTGATATGACACAATTACTGTCTCCTTGTGGCTGATATATTTTTCAAACCAAAATGCTTGTCTGTATCTTTTTTGTATTATTTACTTGTAAAATAATAGAAACTGAACCTAGTCTTTCAAGGAAGCTTTGATAATTCTAGATCTGGGAGGAGGGGGCAGTTAGTAAGTTAGCAATGGTCTGGCAATTACAACACTTAAAGTGTGCAATTTTTTTTTGCCTCATTGCATAATTTTAGGCATTAGCATAAATAGAAGGCCCTTCCAACTGTGTTCTGAAGTGCAACTCCAAAACCTTTTTTTTAGCAAATGCTGAGTACTTCATCACATCCATATTGCTGGTCACAATCCTTTAGACCCTTGCAACACCTGAAACCTACTCAATTATTCAGTGCAACCTTTTCTATTCCCTTTATTAATAATAGATTGTCCCTGCTGTAGGGGGGAAAAAAAACAGAAGCTCTACAAAATAACTATAGCATCAGATTGAGAACTAAGTTAAAAATAGAATGTATATTACCTCAACAGAGAGGGAGAGAGACATACCTTCAAAAATGTTAAAATTTCACTTAATCAAACCAGATTACCCACATGTATAATTTTTAAAACATCATTAAAACAAATCTGTCCTGTCTAAGGCTTGGAAGTCAAGCAAAGGCTGTCACCAACTGTTCTTCCACATGGCTGAGAGGTAGTCACTGTATAAAGCTGTTGCTCCATTGGTCCCAAAGGAGAGAATGTGCAAACTTAGTAAGGAATACTTTTATTAAATAAATATGTAAGTGAATAAAATGCAAGTCTTTTAACACACTTCTTCCAAAGAAAACTATATTAAAAGCTAGTGGTTTCTAGATACTTATTAAAGGAAATCTGCCTCTGATCAGAAAAATTGTGAGGGTCCAAAATGCCATTATCTGTACAATCTGTTATAGATCTATTTCACAAATGATCCAGCCACTTACTTTTGAGGAGTAGAGCCTGGAGTCCACAGGCCTGAAATTCCCAATCTGTAGTCACCAGGGAGCCCAAGAACCCATTCCTTGAGACCTGCACAGCTCCCGACCCTCCCTTCCGATGTTAAAAATTTCATTGCTTTTTAACTGGAAGACCAACATATAGTAAAATAAAGTGCTAAATCTTCAGCATTATTTTTATTTTGAATAATGCTTTTGGGCCTCAAATATAGCCTTAGGAAAGAAAAATACTGGATTTTTCCTGCATTTTGCCTGCATTTATACTTGTACACATGTCTGTATTTTCCTAGGATGTTTGCTTTTGCTTGTGTAGTATGAATACATTTTGCTTGTTCTTTATTATATTTTAATATGCGGGCATACGGAATGAGTGTTTTGCCTGGATGTATATTTCTGTGTGTATCTCTGATTTGTGTTCTATAAAATGGGTATCACGTGCTTTGTGGGAACAAGCAAATATGCAATACAGCATTTAGAGCTGAGATCCCGTTTTTGGCTTGTATGTGATTTCTTGATGTACATTACTTCTCTCTGAGCTTTATCAGTACATCTTTTAAAAAACAGTCTAAAACACAAAGCGTAGCAGCCTTGATCTGTATTCTAAAATATTTTATGACATACTGTAAATAATCCTAGCAGATTAATAGACAAAAGAATACATTCAATTCACGTAAGAAACCTACAAATCTAAATCAATGATGATTTTTTCCCAAGGACCTGTCAGGCACTTCGGCCAAGGCCATGGCTGCAGCCTGGAATGGGCATGTGATGGAGGCCTTGGACTGGATTGCTCCTACGCGGCCTCCTTCTGTGTGCTGATCTTGGGGTGCTCCTTGGTTTTCCAAAGATGAAACACCAGAAGCGACGCCTAGAGCACCGCTGGAGAAAGACAAAGAGCAAATCCGACCGAACATGAGTAAAAGCCCATATTCAGGCCTACATTGTGGCGATAAGAGGGTGAAATATTATTTCTGCACCCTTATTGCACCTGCCAATAGCCGCCCAGTGGCCCTGTTTAGGGTAAGCTGCTTCCTATTGGGAGGTCTTGGGCCACAGGAACATCTCCAGGACCATGGTGAGGAATATGCATGGTATCTGGCAGGCAAAGTTGCTCAGATTTGCTCAGAGTTGAACTCTGACTGTGGAAGTCCTAATAAGTTGCTCAGGGAACAGTCTTGTGATGTTATCTGGACTGAGTTTGATTCTGTTATGCCCGAGGAAGTGGACAAAACCCTTTTGTCCGTTAGACCAGCCATCTCTTTGTTAGATCCTGGCCCCTACTGGGTTATCAAAGCAGCCTGGGAGGGATAGGTTCATGTGGCAGTTTCAGCCTCTTTGAGAGAGGGGGTAGTCCCACTAGTCTTGAAGGAGACAGTGGTACACTCCCTCCTCAAGAAGTCATCACTGGACCCTTGTTTGTTGGAGAATTATTGGCCAGTTTCCAACCTTCCCTTTCCGGCGAAGATTGTGGAAAGGGTGGTTGGGCAACAGCTACAGAGGATCTTGGAGGACACAGATTATCTGGACCTATTTCAGTCTGGCTTCAGGCCAAGGTACAGTACAGAGACAGCATTGGATGTACTTACTGATGACCCTTGGCAGAGCCAGGATGGGGGTGGTTCATCCATCCTAGTGCTCCTTGATCTCTCAGCAGCTTTCAATACTGTCGACCACAGTATCCTTCTGGATCGCCTGCAGGGGTTAGGAGTGAGGGGCACTGTGCTCCAGTGGTTCATCTCCTTCCTCAATGGTTAGTTCAAGTCGGTGTTGACAGGTGGGGAGAGACTGTGTCCGCACCTCTCATGTGTGGGGTACCTCAGGGCTCGATGCTCTCCCCTCTCCTGTTCAACATCTACATGAAACCACTTGGTGAGGTCATCCACCAGTTTGGGGTGTGGTATGATGAATATGCTGATGATACCCAAATTTATATGCTGATTTATACCCAAATTTATATATGCTGATTTATACCCAAATTTGCACAGGTGAAGCTGTTAATGCACTGACCTAGTGTCTGGAGGCTGTTCAGGTCTGGATGGGGCAGAACAGACTTTGGTTCAATCCTACAAGACTGAATGGGTATATCTGTTTGGACCCCCTGGGTTGGTGATGTCACCATCTTTGGTCTTGGATGGGGCTGCACTTCCCTAGTCAAGACTATGCGCAACTTGGGGGTCCTTCTGGACTCACAGCCACTGCTCAAAGCGCAGGTAGCAGCTGTGGCCAGGAGGACCTTTGCACAGGTTCATCTTGTGCACTGATTGCACCTTTTCCTTGATTGGGAGGCCCTTCAGACAGTCACTCATGCCCTGGTAACCTCATGATTGGATTATTGCAATGCGCTCTACAGGAGGCTGCCCTTGAAGACCACTCAGAAGCTACAGCTGGTTCAAAATGCAGCAGCATGAGCAGTAATGGGCACCTCTCGGTGTGCCCATGTGTCACCACTGCTATGTGAGCTGCACTGGTTGCCAGTTGGTTTCCAAGGTGCTGGTTATTACCTATAAAGCCCTGTATGGCATAGGGCCTGGATATCTGAGGGACTGCTTCTCTCCAACTGTTTTTTACATTCCAGCAGAGTGGATGCACTCCAGGTCCCTCCATTAAACACTGCCATCTTGTGGGACCTAAGAAGCATGCCTTCTCTTTTGTGGCCCTCACCCTCTGGAACAGCATTCTCCCAAAGATGGCACCCTCTCCCCTGGGGTTCCGGAAAGCTTTGAAAACCTGGCTTTGGTCCCAAGCCTGGGCTTGATGATATTATTTGTTCAATGGCCCTTCTTTGGTTTTGTTGTTTTTGCTGTCCATTAGATTATTTTAGTCTGGGCTGTCTGTTTGAGTCAATGTTTTTAGCTGTTTTTATGTTTTCCCTAGTTTTATACACCGCCCAGAGTCCATTGGAGTTGGGCAGCCAACAAATAAATAAATAAATAATCTTCCAAATCTATTATGTACCCTTTTCCGGAATTAAATTCCTATAGAAATGCAGCCACTGGCACTTTGGTATGCCAAGCATATAAACACCACAGTGAGAATTAGGGATACTGTACTGAAAGCAAGAAAATTTTGTAAAAAATAAATACTGCCAAAAGAAGGTATGGAGCAGTGTTATGTGGATAATGGTAGGAAAGAAGATCTGCTATATGGATGATTTAAAAGGTCACATATTTCAAAAGTGTTATCAATAGCTTAGGGTGATATTCTGTTTCTGCACAGCAATATACTATTGATGACAAAAACAAATTTATTAGCACAAGTGCTTAGAATTTTTGTCATAAGGTTCATGTTCTATGCGAGCCATCTTAAAAAATGTTTTATTTTTTTTCCTTCCCTTTTGTTTGATACACAACAAAGATCAAAAGGTAGCCAAGAAGAAATTGTTTAATAATTATAATTTTAAAGCACATTTAAAAAACAGCAGACATCTTTATTTTATGTAATGTGATGTTTCCAAAGCAGTTAAAAACCTACAATCAACCCACCAAAGATATAAAATAATAATTTAATGAAAGTTCTGATATATTTGTTATCAAAATGCAATTCAAAAGTTGGGATACTCACATCTCCCTCTAGTGGTCTTTGATCCTCACCATCCCTGGTTGGGCTGATGTCCTGTCTCATCACCCAGATGGGTTCTTTGGGTTCATCAGGAGTATATGGAGAACGAATAGTCCTTGTTTTCACTTCCTCAATAGCTTCCTTAATGTCTTTAATTGCAAGTGATATGGCATCCCTTTTTTCTTTGCTATATCTTTGCACCAATTCACCTGCATTAACAGGTACTCTAGAGCTGATCGAAACCTGATTGCTGCTTTCATGGCGCACGTTAGCAGGAATGTTAGTGTCCACATTTTGTTCTGCTTCTGGCATGTCTTCAGCATCTTTGTCTAGGCTCTGAGAACTCATGCTTTGTTTGACTTCAGCTACAATTTGGTCTATATCTTCCTCTTGTTCATAACTGTCCATACGTGGATACGGGGCAAATTCTGCCTCCTTCTCAGGACTGTCAGACTCTCCATCAGAGCGCTCATCATAGTGGTGGAGGCGTGCACCCAAAGCCTCCTTTCGATAGTTGTCAGCTTCTTCTCTCTCTTGCTGATACAGTCTAAGACCTTCCTGGACATCAAGGTCAGGTGTGTCACCTATCTCTTCATATACATGTTCCTGCAGCCCATAATCAGCATAAGGCTCAGCATACTGTTCATCTTCCCCTCGATGAAAGAGCCTGTGAGTGTACACATACCCAGAATATGCTGCATTCATGGCTTCCTCATGCTCAATGGAATGAAAGTGCAAGTGGTTGGGAAGAGTTCGGTTATGAATTGTTTCAGCATGCTCTGCCTCAGCATTTTCAGTGTACTCCTCTGCTTCAGGTCGGTACTGCACTGCATAGGCACTCTCATCCTCATTCTCTAGTACTCTGTCACCTTCATAGCTGTCCTCTGCTGTGGCTATGACATCTCCTTCAGCAGTGTCAGTATGATAATGGAAGCCACTCTCAGTGCTAGCTGACCGTGCTAATGTGCTTTCCTCTTCCTGTCTAGAAGGTCGTTCATGGCTGCCATTGGCACATCTTGGGTAATGAATGGCATATTGTTGTTGTTCCTCTTCTACTTCAGAATGTTCTAGGTCTGCCTCTACAGATTCATTCACTTCTCTACTTCCTAGTTCATCACTGATCTCTCCTTCAGGCGGTCCTTCAAAATGGTTCATGGCAGGTTCTACTAGATATTTCACCTATTCTATTGACATTTTGTGTGTTGAGGCTGTAAAGAAGTTACAAAAAGAACACCTTATTACATACAAAAAAGAAAAAGATATTTTAAAGCCCATTACAGCAATAATAAAAAATATGCAGTCAGTTGGCATTTCTACTTTCACAAAAAATGTCTCATAAATAAGAATTCTCTACAACTGGAAAGACAAAAATCAGAAGTGTTACCATAAGCAGAAACCACTAGCAACAGTTGAGAGAATGAATGGAATAGGATGACTAAGTGACTAACAGAACAGAATAGGCAGATTGATTAGACAAACAGGATGAGAAATATTCAACAAAAGAAATTTGCACCTAATAAAATATATTAGAAATGGGAATGAAAGAGGAGAGGATACAGAGAGTATAAATAACTACATGAAAAAAAGAGAATATAAAATGTGTGCAGGTGAAATACTTGTCTCTGCATGTATGTAACTATTTAGATATTCCTGCCACAAGCCACACTTCAAAAAACAGGCAGGGACAACACAAAAATGAATCAATATTCATTTAATTAATAACTGATTAAAATAAATTGCTTGTAAAATAAAGTAACCTATTCATAAAATTACTTAGCCCTGTACCTGCATGTACCAACTTTTTTTTTTTTACAAATGCAAACCACTTTTACCCACAGAATGTGCAAGTGTGCACATCATACTCCCCTCCCAGCAGAGTCAGAAAAAAAAAATGAAGAAAAAATCCAGAATGGAGATAAGCAGTGAGAAGGGAAAGGAAAGGGGGCAGAATAAAAATGAATAGAGATAAAGCAAGGGAAAGAGGTAACCAGACAGAAGGGAAAAGAGAGAGAAGTCCTGTTTAGCCATGAAAATCAATCAATCAATCAATCAATCAATCAATCAATCGGCAGGCAAGCAACCCCTGCAAGTGATAGCAAAATGTCAAAGACAACCACTTTTCTCCATGCTTTTCAGTCTAATTTTAGCCTGTCCCCATTCCGTTGTTTTTAACAGCATCTTGTATTCTTGATTACAATACAATACAATACAGCTGAATGTAAGATAACCCCCTCCCCCAATTCACAGTTAATTTCAGGGGGGGAAATCACACCTTCTGTTTGATCCCAGGAAAAGACGTTTGGTTTAAGGACCTGCAGGCAGGTGTTATATGTGGTTGAAATATGTTTTTATTCTGCAAAGCTCAATGTAAGGTTTGAAATGCGACATTATAAATAAGGACAGCTCTAGAGCATGAACTGTCATCAAACCATGCACTCAAATAAAATATAAATTGTATTCATGGTTTACTGCAATTTCAAAAAAAGTTGTTTACCAAACAGGAGTATTTATAATTTGAAATGTATCATGCTAATAAATATATAACACATAGAACTGACACAAAACCACAAATCTCTCCAACTAACGAGTGGTATAAATAACATGTTACCATTTCCACTAAGCCCACTGATTGCAGTACTTGGGAGACAATTTCATTACTATTCATTACTGGAATTGCTTGCATGCATTATTTTAAGTCTTCATTGCTAAATCAAGAGATGGTAATTATCCATAACTATCTCTAAGCAGTGGCCAGGAGAATTAAAGATAACTAAACTTAATTAAACATTCTTGTAATGGGGATGGGAGGGACCCCAACCCTTCCTCTCCCCTTCACCTCCCCCCTTCCTCTCCCCCTCCCCACTGTCAACTTTCAAAGATGGATTCTAGATGGATTCAACTTTCTAGGTGGATTCAAAATGGAGTCATGCAGCTCTAGAATTGAAGAAGGAACATGATAAGCTCACATCCATTCAACTTCTGGGAACTTCACACGTTTATGGTAGCAAGATAGCCCTTGGGGCACACATCACACAAATCTTGTCAACAGAGGGGTCCAAACCATCCCAGAAGCCGGCTATTCATTCCAATGGAGGAACAAGTTAATCAAGCAGGAGTGTTATCTCTACCAAGAGGCAAGGGTTTAGTAGAGAAAAGCATATAAATAGGCAGTTTGAAGATACAGTGGGGCAAAAAAGTATTTAGTCAGCCACCAATTGTGCAAGTTCTCCCACTTAAAAAGATGAGAGAGGC